AGTGGTTTGTAGGAGTCTTTCCTCCGAGCACCAGAATCCCTAAGAGCTTCTCCAAACACCTTCAGTTGGGCAGTAACTATATTAACTACTTATAATTATAAGTTAACATATAGACAGTATGGATCAGGGTCTAAGACAAGTCACAACATTTCTTCACCTCCAACAGGTGAGCTGTCACAGAGTCCCAGTTTATCAGCTGCATTCATTCATTCATTCCTCAGGTGGAGTCCTGAGCTCCATCACTGCTGTCGGGATATTCATATATTACTGCTGATGCATAGCAGTTAGATTCAGATCATGAATAAAGGAGGTCATGTGTTATGCTGACAGCTGTCATTGGTCTAGATTCAGGTGTGTGTTTGTTATGACATCATCATGAACTATGCATCGCTTCATGTCCGGTCAGATCTGGTGCTGCATACTGTGACTCTCCCTGACCTCCAATGGACCAGTCTAACAAAGCCCAGCAGCATCTGACCCTGTACAGTCTGGAGGGCAGCGTACAATGGAGCAGAAGAAAAAACAGGATGATTGGCAGAGAAATGGTCTTAGTTCTGCACAATGAAGAAAAGTAAAACAGTTCAGCGTATTTACATAAAGAAGTGAAGGGCATGTGGAGCCAGACATGTGACAGGACACTGGTCAGCTCTACAGGTAACAACAGGTAAAGGCTATGATCAAAGTTTTCTACAGTTCTTGTGAAACACTCTGGAAAGCAGCAACAGATAAGTCACGGTAGCCCTGATGGATGATCACAGTTCTGTGGTGTTTTATGGAGTGTGGGGACACTATAAAGACACTGTTTGAGTTACAGTCCTGCTTTACCATCAGCTCTCCAAGTCTCAGAGCATCCAAACATGTCTGGAGAGATCCATACTCACATCAAACCTGGGTTCTAATAAATCAAGTGTTCTCATTGTAATGTGCAATGCTAAGGTCTGGTTTGTGTCCACGCCGTGTTTCTGAGTGAGTTCAAAGACTTTCACAGTGTTGTCTTAAAGTGGTTCCAGCATTCATTTGGCTGGACCAGGAAGTCCCGTCCATGTGTACATGCACAAACCACCGTGTTGAAGATCAGAGATTTAAACACTTCTGTGTTATAACAAGAGGCAGGTTTCACAATAGCTGCCTGGAACATGTTTGTATAATTCAAGAACTACTGAAAGGGGCAAACTTTTATATTCTATAACTGTGAGGACTTTTACTGTCTTTTATCTCATTAGTTTGTTTTAAGAGAGAAAAACAACTATGTGAGACTAAAACTAGCTGCTCAGCACCACACAACAGAGAGACACAGTGAAGGCCAATTCATGCTTTCTGCATTTCCCTACAAGAGCACGTGTGACGTACATTTTGTCATCCAACCAAGTCCAGAGGTTCCTCATGGATCCTCAGGCCAACGGTCTCCACAACCAGCACACCGCCTGCACATGTGGCAGGAACACCAGCTGTGCTGAAAAGACTGTACGAGGACATTCTCCATCATCTACATCTCTATAACTCATCATTCAAAGAGTTGGACTTGGGAGGAGCTCTGCTTGTCGGTGATTTCATCGACGGAGCCCAAACTCACTTCTCCAGAAAGCCTCTGCCAAGACGGTACATTGAGCCCAGCACACCTCAGGAACAGCCCCATACAGCCCAGTCTGCATCCTCCTGTGTCTCTCTGTTTGATTGGAGGTAATGCAACTGGCAGAGCGGTTATCAGTCTGGGCACACAAATGTGGAAAACATGAACTGTCCTTTAAAGACAAGCTGGTGAACACAGAGCAGCTACAGAGCCAGGTATGAAACAGACCTAAAGGGAGAGCGGCTATTGAATGAAGCTTTAGGTTTGTCCGTGTGTTGTGGAGTTCTTCTGACAGCATCCACACTTTATCATGGCGAAACTAATCACTGTTAGTGCTGAGATAAAATTAAATGAGTCACATCAATACTGAACAGTGAATGGTATGGCGCCCCCTTTAGGGATTCTGAAACAACAAAAGCGTGAAACATACAAAAAAAAACACAGAAAAAATATTGTTTACGAGTCCCGAGCACCGTCCGCCTTCTTCTGACCAACAATGAAATGAAACCTTTATCATGTGCAGTCGCCTGCTGTATTCCCTTCAGATGTGGGACTTTGCTGCTTCGTTCTGTCTCAGTCTGTTTAACTGTTTGCATTCTGTCAGTGGGACACGGGTCGTTTCCATTCACGTTCCTCGTGGCCTCGTTCTGACCCACCACAGTGAAGGACAGAGCTGTGGTCCTTTAGGAGAATCCATGTTGACTGTAAGAGTTGAGAAACTAGCAGCAGGTGCATTTAATATAGATTTAGAAGGTGTGCTGATGACTGGAGCAGCTGCTGCTTCTTAAAGGCTGTTGGATGGGGATGATGGAGCCTGTGTGGCGTACCTACGACTGACCCGGCACTCCGACAGCCTTCCTGTTGCTCTGGAAATGTCTGTTTACCAGCATGTAAGCCTCTGCTCTGAGCAGCCTGCTGATGCTGCCTTCGATAGCACAATGCTTTGAACTGAGCGTCTCCAGGGAACACAGCCGGGTCAACAGGCGCCGTCAAAGCAGAGAGGTTCTGGAGCTGGGGCTGTTTTCAGGACAACACAATAATTACTGCTTCAGATTTATAAAAATACCTGTAAACTCTTTTTCTCCTTTCCATGTATCACCCTCTGTTTTTAACTGTGACTTTTCCATCGTGGTGTGTTTATTTCTCAGAATCAGATATCGTCAGCCAGCGAGTGTTTTCTTTCATAATTTCACTTTCTCTATTCTTAGCCGGCCTAAACACGAGCAGCAGGCTGCTGGTTGGAAAAACATTATATTTCATAGTCAGTTCAACAATGACTATACCGAGGGATGGCCGAGGAACCCAGCTCTGTACGCTGCACTTTAATCTTGTGCTCAGTAAACTATAATTAGGTTTGCGGGACTCGGGCCCGTGTCTGCTCACAGTGGACATGGAAAGAAAAGGGCTGCCGTTCACTTCCCTCCTTCCCCTCCTCTTCCCCTTCTGCTTTGTAGACCCAAATTGGTTCCAGATGCATTCTCTCACGGCTAGCTTCCCCAACCGAATCGCAACATGAAAGAAACGGAGGAGAGAAGTTTCGCAAAACTCGGCACACGACAAAAATGTATGGTATTTCTACACAAAGTGGAGGGAGGAAGTTGGAGGAGAAGCCACCGTCTCCTAAAGGGAAAACCACTTTGTCACTTTTCCACATGGGGCTGTTTACTACACCTTTTGGACTTTCTGAGACCTTTATTACTGTCAAAGGCCTCTGGGAGACAATGTGCAGCCCAAATGAGGATCTAAGAGTTGTGCTTCTTTCATGTTCCAGACAGATGTGTCAGGAAAAAAAACTGTACATCGTGATATTTAGCCAGAGCAAATCCACATCCTGCACCCATGTGCACCGAACATCAAAGCCCGACCCACCAGCATGTTAGACCAATTTATAACCGAGCCTGTGGAGCCCCTTCAGATAAAACACTGAGGCAGGCAGGCGGGCAGGCCGGGCTGCACTGTGGCCCAAATGATATTCAAGAGCGACAACAGCTGAAGGTCTGTGGATGAGACGCCAAAAGGCCCTGATGTGCAACAACACAGAGCAAAGTGGCAGCTCCATGTTTACTCAGCCAATTAACCAGTGAAAGCACATTCAAGACCAGTTGTTGTCCTCCAGAACCAACACACACCTCTGTGTTTGTCTTGCTGTTTTAACAAGTCCCAGTGAATTAATTAGCACCCTGAAAAGCACTATTCATTCATTCATTCACATTTTGCTTACATGCGCCTCTTTCTTTTAGGGACCAGACTCCATTCAAAACAGCAGGCACTTTTATGGCCTGCTTCTCTTTCTTTCTGACCCATTAAAGCAAGTGAAACATGACTTACGACAAAATAAGTGACATCTGTGCAGTTTATCATTCAGGGACAGACTTCAGGTGTGTTTTAGTGAAAAGCTGGTCAGGTCATAATGCGCCAACTATTTAAAACTTGAAATATTTTTTTAAATTACATGTGTTTTGAGGATATTTGTGGAAGCCGAATTGAATAGTGTATTAAGCTGATCCGTAAAACATCCAACCAGCTGTTCCCAGAAGCTTTGCATTTGCCAACGAGCCAAGAGACGCAAATCTGGGAAAAACTTTCATGACATCCGCTCGCCGTCGCAGCGGGCAGCGGTCCCCGTTTTTTCTTCTTTCCCGATCCGCTATGTCAGCTCTGTTTCCTTCTCAGGCAAGAAACCGAACAAATCCACTTCCAAAGCTATTATAGTCTCCCCGAGGCCACATGTTGGAAGAATTAACTCCGAGGGAAACGTTTCTGTGAACTTTCCTGGGAGTCGGACGGCCGTCGCGGGGAGCGGCGCTACACGGGATGCTAACGTCGCGCTCCGGGACGGATAGCGGTCATGCTAGCGCTCATCCCGGTCACGGAACACACACACTGTCGCTTTGATTTCCCGCAAAGGCACACACCTAAAAGTCACCATTAAAACCTTTTGTCGGAGATCCACTTTTCAATCGATGCATGAACAACAAACCCCGCTAACTCCCGTCTGCTCCAAACTTTCCTCTCCCGTTATTCCCAGCACCGAGGCGGGTGGGCGGTAGCTAGCGATGTGGGACAGAAAACGGTTCGTTTTTTAAAAAGCAGCCCCTTCCTAGACTATATAGTTACCCGGATTACCAGAGGAGTTCACAATTAAGCACACAGTTTGTTAACTAGTCTCTGGGGTGTTTAAATTCACTAATACACGAGAGGTTGTCAAATTCTAGGATTTCTGAATGAAGTTTGGCGTGTCGACGTATCAGAGCTCAGTCTGTGTGGACTGTCACTGAATCAACAAGTTGTGGCCGAGCTGAGGGTAAAGACGGCTCAGAGCGTCGGCTGTGAACTCTCTGGTTCTCCTTCAGGAAAGCATGACGGCAGGAACAGACAGCAACACGGACACGAGTGACGGTTGTGGAGTTTAAAGCTCCGCCAGACTCACCCTGAGCGCGCAGCGGCTGGCAGCAGAAGTTCACGGAGAGGAGGAAACTGGTGATCTGGAAACACACACGCATCTTATTGAAATCCTAAAGGGCATCGTGGACAAGAAGACTGAGAAAACACTGATGCTGCGACATGCTGCTCCATGGATCCCTGTGAACTCTCTCTCTCTCTGCCTCCACTCTCCCCGGTTGTGCGTACGAATCGCAGGGCGCATGCGCAGAGCGGAGCCTGGTTAACGGTGATAAGTCCCGTTAACTGTCTACCTGGTCTAACGTTACTGTCAGGGAAGAACACGGAGCTCACCCTCAGGCGCTACATGTTATTTTACTTCCAGCTGATCTTGTTTTAGTGGATTCATTCGTTTTGAAGACTTATAAATAATGTTTTTATTATTTTACTAACTTGAATGTTTGGCTGCTGTCGTCCAGGGTTCCCGTCTGTCCATCCTGGGCTACACCTGAATGTAGTCCAAGTTTAACTGCTGATCCAGATATGCAAACACTTCTTTATTTAAACTGCTTTAAGTCATTGGATCTTGAAGAAAGGCTCTCTCCTCCTGCCTGTGCTGCTGTGGATGGACAGCACCACCACAATAAACTGGATCTGATCTGATCAATAAAGGCTGAGTGACTGAACTCATGTGTGCAGTGTGTTAACTCTTTCATGATTTATTAAAAACAGAGTGTGATCTTCTATTAAAGTTTTTATCACTCATCAACAAGAGTTTAAGGGATGTTTTTTGTCTGACTTGGAGTGGAACCGTCCACTATAGCCGACTCTGTGTTTAGTTGATGTAAAACAACAGGCTGAAGGGTTAACACATTAAATAGATGTTACTGCAGCTGATTGTTCACAATAAGACATTTTTTGTGTTGCCGGTGAAATGATGCGCTGAAACATGCAAACAAGGTACTGCTTTGTTAAAGATGAGCACATAAACCTCCACAAGAACAATGTGAACCCTGGATGAATTCAGGTTCAAAGTTTTTGTTTGTTGTCAAAGGTTGCAACAGAGGGGGCTGTGGAGTCCAGTTGTATTGCTCCATAAATCAGACACTGCTGTCAACAGAAGAGAAACATCACTTTGACTTACAAACTAAGTCTACACTGCTGTCTGTATCCTGCAGGTTTCTACAGAATACAGACAGTGGTGTAGACTTCATTGTAAGTGCTGCTGAAGTGGAGATTTGTGGAAGAAAAAGAGCCAAAATAACTGATGACTAACGTTATTTAATCAGCGTAATATAACATGAGGCTGACTACAGCGGACAGTTACAATAACACGCTTTAACAGCCATTCCAAGTTCAACAGTTGTGTTTCCACCACCTTCTGTCCTTATAGAGAAATGGTGCAATAGAAACCATTAATGAAGACAGTGATCATACAGAAAAGTCTTGGGATCCTGTTCCCTGTTTTTAGTAATTATTGCACATGATATGGTTTAATTGAAGCTGAATACGTGTCCACTGCAGTACTACTGATCACATTTAGTGCTCCTGATAAATACTGAGGGCGTTAAATCTGAAATCTC